TGAGGCACATTAACCCAATGGTTCTGCATCAATAGGCCAGCCTCCAATAGCCAATAATGCCACGGCACGGTGACATTTGGCGCGCTGTGGAGCGGCGATCAGGCAGCACGGCACAAGTTAGGCCGCGAGGGTGAGACATCCAGTCAGTTTCCATAGTGATGTGGTTGAATGGGGAGGATTAGCAGGGGCAGCGTGGTGAGAAGGGATTGCAGACTTCTGTCAAAGCTCGCTTTCAAAAAAAAAAAAGAGCTCCGCGTCTCGGCTGCCTCCTCTCCTGGTGATGCCGGGGACGGTGCCTCCGTCTCACTTCACTGGCCACACTTTTTCCCCCACGCAGACGTTTTCCGCGTCTGCTTTCCTGTGAGGGTTTGACGGGTGTGCGGTACTCAAATGAGCCAGTTGTTCACACCGGCACGAAGAACGCGGTGCAAAGGGCGCTGCCCGATGGACGCGCGTCACTCGCCGCTCACACAAGCGCTCAGTCAGTGTCCCTCAGCCTCGAACTGGGGACCTCTGGGTAGCTCTCTGGCGTTGGTTTCGCATGAATCAGGGACAGCGTTTTAATATTCCACTCGTTACATGGAGAGATCTTTTCTTAACTAATATACGTCTTTGCAGGGACCGAATTTTACTCAAACAAAACCACTTAGTAGGCATTGGAAAAAACACGTGGTTCAAAACGACTCGGTTCTTTAGTTTCATGAAGGACACGAACAGCGGCCTCCTGGGTGAAAGTCCAGTGTTTGTTTGATCCATTCTCTCGCCCCCCCGCCCACTTTATTCTGCTTCAGTTGCTCAGAGCATCTAAAATGACCCGGTTGACCCGAGTCGATGAATTGGGAGATGAGACCGGTTTGACCTAATCTAAAACAAAAAGTCCCAAAATCACTTTTTGCATTTGAATTATTACCAAGCGTTTTTTATGCCACAGTAAGTTTTAACATGAAAAACACCTTTCCTGTAGACCAGCTGTTTTCTCACTGCTCACTTACATCCTGCAGATGCGGACGGTACGAGGTTGCACAGTTATCCGGATCTGGCCCGGGGGCCGCGAGTTTGACATATGTGAACTAGTGTGTCGGTTAAAATAACACTCAGTAATATCAGAATAAACCAATGATTTGTAAATAAATGGCTCTAATCCCAGTAGTTCTATGTTATATCTATTAGCTGGGATTCTGGAGGTAATGAGGAGAAGGAGGTCTTCCAAGAAAACAATTATCGGTGCTGAAATGCAACTCTTAATTACAGAAAGAGAAGTAAAACAAGAAGCTGGTGTCAATTAAACATGTCATGTTATAATTAGAGTGATTATCTGATACTGTTCTGTTAATATGCTGAGATGTACAAAAGCATTTAGCAACACACATGTCAGTGGAGATTTAAAGATTATTCAGTTTTACTCAAATATGTATAAACTCAAATAGGCCGATGTTTAGTCCATTTCAAACCGAAGACCAAATAGTCTTTACATTTTTTATCGGTTATTTTTCAAGCTATTTGCTCACTGCTTTAGAAATACGTCATCCACATCTAAGGACACATTTTAAATCCATTCTATCATCATGATTTCAAACACAATTTCATAGGAATCCTTTCAGCAAAGCCCTCCACAACCATGCCCCCTCCCCCCTCTCTGACCTCCTGCACCGACACACTGCCGCCCCCTCCCTCTGGATCTCCCCCCAACACCTTCAGAGAAAGATGCAAACTCTAGCAGCATGCACCTGCATTGAAAATCCACCTATTTCATTGCAATTCAAAACTTTGTTACTTCTCATATTACCATATTTTTATTTATTCATGAAATTTCAAATCTATTGAAGCTAATTTTATTTAATTATGAGGAAATATGAAATAAAAGGTCAGCATCAGTCCAGTGACCAGAGTCATATTTCAAATTTGACAAAGCGATGTTGTGTTTGCACAATGTGATCATGTTTAAACACACATGCTTTTCTAGCAGGATATCCTTACAGAATAAAAAATGTATCTTTTTATTCTTCATTTTGCTGACCAGAGTGTGTTATTTGCCACGTAGCCTTTTTTCTTAATATTGATTACATTGTTCTTTACAGCCGTTGAAGCGGTTATTGCTAGAATACAATGCGTAGGTTCTTGGATCATTTATTTCCAAAGCCCTTTTTGCATTTGACATGCATTCTCATGCCGCCGTACATTTCTGCGCACAGCCTAGATGTGCTTTTTAACCCTCGGAAGCCTAATCTGCTCCATTAATGGACTTTTTGTAGAAGTTAATTAACCATTTTCAATGATAGCAGCACACCAATCCCAGTAGAGAGCCACACGGGGAGCGAGAGACGAAGACCGATTGTGCTGTTGCCTAGCAACACATGTACAAAATTTGAAGCGATTTAGTGCCCCCATACCGGTTGTCACGGAGGTCAGATGTTTTACTAAATCCACACCGTGTGCTGGATGTCACACGGGGAAGTCAACAGATCAATGCGGCCACCTGTCCCCGTCCTGCTCGGTGCACGTCGGCGTGTTGAAGCCAAACGTGTTAAACCTGCAGCCACGCTGAGCGCTTCTCAAAGCATGGCGGTCTAATTCCACGGATTTGTGGAAATGGCATTCTACAGAATCCAAACAGAGGACATAAACGCCAGTCTTGGGCGGCTGTGGGATTTAACTTCTTTGCATAGTTGATCCCTCCAGGAAGGTAAAAAAGAGAAAGGAGGAAGAAGAAAAAAAGACCAAGGGGAGAAACTGAGCATGCTCCAAATATTTGGAAGATGATTCACTCACTATTCCTGGAATATCATTGGCCAGCCCACCTCACCGACTCCTGCATCCCACCATCACTACGCATGTAATGAATATCGGTTCGTTACAAAAAATAAACTGTCCTCTCAGCTTGTTTGTGAATTGTGTGTTTGTGAAAGAGAGAGAGAGAGGGGGGGGGGGGGGTGAAAGGGAAGAGGAGGCACACAAAGAGACAGGGAGACGTAGGGAGGGAGTAAGGAGAGAGAGGCGAGACGGAGCTGCTGAGGCACTCACTTCACAGCGATTTAGGTCATGCTAAACAAATGCTACACTAAAGAAGCGCAGACAAATAGGAGCCTTGAAGTCATTTCAGTGTCTTCAGAGGCTGGACGCCGTGGAGGAGGAGCAGCCTTCAGCAGAGACACACTCAGGTGTCTCCGGGCAGGAAGAGTGAGGTGAATAGCATCAATCATCAAACCCGGGTGGGTAGAAATAATTAGACATTTGTGCTTTACACATCGGGTGAGCAGTTGTTCGGATGCCCGGGGAAATATCAGCACGCAAATGGTGCGCCGCAGTGTGTCGGCACTCGACACTCTCGCTCTCTCGCTCGGCGCCTACAAGTTCAAAAAATGTAAGAGGCACAAAGAGCAGACAGCAACAGAACAGAGGCTTCCGACAGGGTAACTCTTTGTGGGATTACCTAAGGAGACCTGATCATATTTTCATTACTCCGCCGAAGACTGCCTCGCTGTCAAAACAAGGGGTTTGTAAATATTTACTGTTGAGTTTTGGGTCTCGCTGAATTTGTTTTTGGGTACAGCAGTTTTTCAGTAACCAGATTTCCGTTGAAAAGATGGTAGGGGCAATATTTACATCTACGATCACATATTTATATTCATGGGTGGACGTTGCATGAATCTTCTAGCCACAAATAGTGACATGCTTGACATGTGAACGTGTTCATGGACTGTCGATCGTCAGCAGATTGACTCGCGTGTTTACAATACAAAAATTAAATGAGGAGTGTACACAATTTCATCAGGAGAAAAACAAGTCTCGCCGACAATATGAATAAAATATGTGAATTGCTTATGATTAGCATACTAATAACTAATCATCATGCTAATCAGTTCATTTTGGGGCCTCAAATTGCAGGCTGGGAAATGTAAGGCCATCAATATGCAGGCTGAGGAGTGAGAAACGCTCAGAACGGAGCAGATAAAGCAACGGTTTCAAGGGAGGGTATTGAAAAAAGGGGGAGATTTATAATAGGGAGAAAATGGAGGGCAGAGTCATACAGCGGCCACATTTGACATTGACTTTAATGTGAAAATGTTTGATTTTCTTAATATTAAATGGTTAGTTTTTTGGTACAACCACAGAATTAAGCGTTAAAGTCAGTCTTAATATCAGTTTCTTTAAATTGACAGTTATGAATTTTGTAAAAAAAAAAAAAACTTACATAATGACAGAAAGGCAAAGGGGGACTCTTTGTTAAGTGCAGTAGATTTTGGAAGCATCCTTAATCCCTACACACACACACACTAAGGTGATTTTACGGCCAATGGGCAACAAGACTCAACCTACAGTCTCTAGAAGCCATTACAGGACAGGACACGTAATCCCGGCCCAGTGGAGCACGTGCAGCCGTCACAAGGAGCCAAATTCAAGCTTCCGACTGAAACTAAGAGACACGGCGGGGTCCAGCGAGGCGCATCAAACCAAAGCTCCGGGGTGAGGAGGTCAGCTGGCCCACCAGCCTGTCCCACATGCCTGTGCGCGCTCCATCAGCAGGTGTATAAATATGTGTCATGCTTCACACCGCCGTGTCCGCGGGGACGGGAGCCCAGATGGGATTTTAAATGCTGCATTTCATGTGGTATCATTTAGTGGGTTAGTTCACCCCTCATTGGGTCGCCATCTGGTGCCCCCTCAGCCGGTGATGGGAGCGTTCACACTGGAGCTGAACCGCTGCTGATCTGCCTGCGTGCCAGAAGTTTGCACCACGGGTCCGCGCGCACCTCCTCGTCGTCACTTCAACTCACTGAAGTGTCGAAAATGAAACCAATAAAAGCACTTTGCCAAAAGGTGCATCTGCGCGGTTTGAATTGCGTGTGGCGGGAGCCGAGCGGGAGCACACGTGGGTTTAAAGAAGAAAAAAAAAAAAAAAGACAGAAAGCGCGAGCGTGACGTCACAGCCGAGGGAAGAACTTGTGCTAAATCTGAAATCAAACAAGTGGGCCTATTTACACACGCTGGGAACCACGTACCTGGCGAGCTGCTCCTTCAAACATTGTGTTCTTGTCTTTCACTTTCCGGATGGTTTCTGCGGAGGGGTTGTGGGGGAGGAAGGGGGAGGAAAAGGGGGGGGGTTAAATAAAATCCACGGCTGGATCCAATCGTCGCTGATTAGCTGCCCCATGTGAGCAGTTTCCAGTTTCTCCCGCAGGGTTTTTCTTTTAGTTTCCTTAATGTTACTTTCTCTTTCTCTTCTTTCTTTTTTTTTGATGGTGAGATTATCGTCCTCGGCGTTTGCTCCATTTCGTCTCATCCCCTCATTTGTGGCTTTGGACGATTGCAGTGAGACATCCGGCCAATGTCCCCTCCCTCCATTGACGTTCTGCCTTTATCACAATTTGCCAGTTTGCAGGCAGACGCCTTCCCAATTTACGCGTTTGGACCTCTTAGTGCTGCTTATATTACCCCCCACCCCCCAATATGTTTCCATTTTGCACCTCGACCATACATTTCATTTCTTGAGGGGAGGGTTGCTCTGTGTGTGTGTGTCATGAGGGGGGGGGGGATTTTGCGTTGCTGGGCACGGAGATAATTGCGTTTTCAACAGCTGAATCCTCAAAGTGTTTGAAGGAAGGAGGCTGAATTAAAGATGTTTCAAGTGAGCCAGCATTCATAAGTTTGACATGTGAATTGTCCTCGTTCTCATTCAGCGTGCTGGTTGCATAACTCGCGGTGGGAGGTGACAAAATGATGGCAAAACCTCAATATTGGTATTTATTAAAATGGCGGGGAAAGAGTAAAAAATTTGAAATGTTACCAAAATAAAATAAAAGACAAATGCTGCAAGTGCGATGTCAGTACAGCCTATATGGGGGGAGAGGGGGGGGGAGAGGGGGCGGAGGGGGGCGACTTTGAGATGACATTGAGGCTGTGTAGATGGGAGTTGAGTCTCTGGTTGTTGATGTTAGACAGTCGCACAAGGCGAAGCGGCTGCTGCCCGTGTTGATTCAGCCTCCTCCTCCTCCTCCTCCTCCTCTTCCTCTTCCTCCTCCTGGTCTTCAGCACTGTTCCCCGCTGGACAGCTCCTGCCTGGACACCTCTAACGCTGCATGGTCCCTTTAAGTCTTTTAATGGAAGTAAAACCTATTTATGTTCCAAGAAATATTGGGAGTTTACAACTTCATCCGCAGGAGGAATCTACGGATACCTCGTTTCGACATTTGTGGCAGGCAGCGAATCCTCGGCGGCACAGATCCCAGAACCATTGTGAGTAAACTGGCTGCTGAATGATTGCGTCTGTCCGTGTGTGTGCGCGTGTGTGTGTGTGCGCGCGTTTGAATCTTCACACAAACGAGTCCGGCTAATGCAGGCTTCTTTATTGTTCGCCTTAGCGGCGGCGGTGAGTGTGATTAAATTGTAAATGAGGCTGTCATCGCGTTGCTGTGGTCAGTGTAATGACTGCACGATGAGCTCTGCGCCGACACGCTACAGCCAATTAAATATCGAATTGATTGCTGTTCGCCAGTGGATTTGGAGGGTGCGAACGTGGAGACGCACTCTGGTGCGTTTATTAACGGGTTTGGTTGTAAATGAATCGCGTAGAACCCTGTGGCTGTTTGTGCAGCCTGGTGCGTAAAGCTTTTACGCATTGGACATCCCTTTGTCTCCACTGTGCGTTTTGTGTTCCAGTTTATTTGAGACCTCTCTGTATGCCCGCTGCTTGCTATTCAGTGTACGTGGATATCAGTTTGAGGGAATCTGCAGGTGGTAATTGCTGGACTGCACTTCATTATGCGTAATTATCATAGGCTGTGTGCTATTGCCATGGCGCGTCTGGCGCTAGAAGTGCATCTTTCGGATCCTCTAATTGAAGTTGTCTTTTTTTAATTCGTCAGCAAAATCGACATCCGCTTTGATTTTGTGTTTTTGTTTTTGCCTATTTATTTCCAGACTTTGTTTAGGCTTATCACGTGCGCGCTGATCTCGTTCGGGCTGCTGTTAATTTACGCGCAATCTGTCGTCGGTCTGTGTTTGACTTATGGGATCGAGTCCAGCATGACTTTGCCTTCGATGGTTTTATTGGTGTTTGTTCTGAATGAAAAAAAAAAAACCTGACCGAGAGCCAAACATTCATGAGATGATTCAGTGTGCGCTTTGAAATGCTGTTTCAGTGAAACCGTGCGTGTGTTAAATGGCATCGTCTGATTGTACTTGTCGGGGAGTAAATACATATTGTGCAAAATGTGTTTGCATTTCTAATAACCACAAATTCAGCGCCTCCTGAAAGGGGGAAAGAGAGAGAGAGAAAAAAACACCGACCAAATGCTCTGTTCACGATTCCAGGTTAACGTCGACTGACGAGCCGTGTGTGCACAGGCTTCATCTCCAGACGTTCGGTCCAAAGGTTTAAAAACCGCGAAGCTGCTGTCTGCGTGGACCGGTGCTGAAGCCTCCCGTTCGACTGCCAGAACCTCTGCCAAACCCAGAGACATGGCGACGAACGGCACCAAAACGGACGGACAGGTCACAGAACTGAACGAGGTGGCCACTAATAAAGACATGCCCGGGCCACTGGAAGTCGTGTCCGAGAAGCAGACGAATGAATTGCCCGAGAGAGAAACATGGGGAGGGAGATTTGATTTTCTCCTGTCGTGTGTGGGTTATGCAATCGGACTGGGCAACGTATGGAGATTTCCCTATCTCTGTGGAAAAAACGGTGGAGGTAAAAAAAATATATTTTATTTTTCCTCTTATGAAAAACTGCACGGCCCATTGAGCTCCACGACGCGTTGACGAGTCGAGCAAACCTAATTGACCGTGACGTGCAAAGAAGGAATCTCACATACATTTACAAGCCTAATTAATTGACGTGCTGTGTTTTTAATGCGTCAGTGCAGTTTCAGCTTAATATTGGTCTCTTTCTTCAATGCATAACGTGCTCTACTTTTTTCCCCTATCCAGGAGCCTTCTTGATCCCCTATTTTTTGACTCTCATATTTGCTGGGATGCCCTTGTTCCTTCTGGAAACCGCCCTCGGTCAATACACCTCCATTGGAGGGCTTGGTGTGTGGAAACTGGCTCCTGTGTTTAAAGGTATCCTCACTTCTGAATATTTATGGACAGTTGTGTATTGTCTAAATATGTGTATGTTTATGGAAATCATTTTCAGGATTTATCGAGGCCACATATATCCAATGATAGCTTTTACTGCCTTTCTGTATGATAGGTGTGGGCCTCGCAGCAGCTGTCCTGTCCTTCTGGCTCAACATTTACTACATTGTAATTATTTCTTGGGCCATCTACTACCTGTACAACTCCTTCACCACTGTAAGTACTGCCCAGGGACACTCACGTGACTCATAAAAAGAGACAGAACCAGCTTGGGTGAAGGTTCTTATCTGTCGGTTCATTCGGAATTCCAGCCTGCGATATTTGAAAATCTGACAAGGAGGGGGGGGGGGGACGTGAAAAATAACACCAACACTGCCATTTTTTTTGTTTTACAGGAACTTCCATGGAGCTCATGTAACAATGCATGGAACACAGAAAAATGTTACACAAACCACTCCATTCTAGATACTACCAATCTCACCAGTTCAGTGTTGGAGTTTTGGGAGTAAGATATTGACTGCTTCTTCTGGCTCGCAGGAGTATAAAAGTATCCTGCATGCGTACCCCAAGATACATGAAAGCCTCTCGCTGCACGCCTCTTTCCCTGTCTCATTTCTGCTCGCTCTGACTTACAGGCGCAACATGCACGAAATGACCGATGGCTTGGAAAAACCAGGCCAGATTCGAGTGCCACTGGCAATCACACTGGCCATCGCCTGGGTCCTTGTGTACTTCTGTATCTGGAAAGGGGTTAGCTGGACAGGGAAGGTAAGACGTTTGCCAGATTTTTGGTATCCAAAACCTCTATTTGCTACACAGGTTCCCAAATGACCAGTGCGTACGTGGCAGCAATGCAGTACAATTAAATCTAATATTACCTCATTAATCGTTTTCACCAGTCAGCATTGTCGAGATTGGTTTTAGAGTAAAAGAGGAGAGACATCAAACACTCATGTTCACTAATCCTTCTCTGCCTCATGGTGGCTCCTCTAATTCCAATTCTCCTGACACGGCGTCTCTGCCGAGTGTGGACTCACGATAGGAGGAGCAACACGCAGCCGCTCACCACAATCCGCTTCGGTCCTCTGCCTTCACTTGGAGCACTTTTCCCTCCCTCGTGGTGCCACATTTCGCAAAGTCGAGCTGGTCACGTGACCATGGCAAATACAATTTGTTTTAGCCACAAAACACCCACCCCCCCCCATCGCCCCCGGGCACAGTTTGCACACAAGTGTCCTTGCACAGTGTGATAAATGCACATAGACGTTCACGGTAAAGCCGCTTTTGCTTAATATTTGATTTGAAATATTTTGTGCGCGGAGGCCGAAGATAATAGATCCAGACAATTTTAAACCTCATTATAATTTCCGAACAGTGGCTAAATATCTACATTCTATATGCTTTCTAAATTTCCTTAAGATTTAATGGTGGTACCCCGCTGACCCTGCTGTCTCACATCATACAGGTCGTTTACTTCTCAGCTACATATCCCTACTTCATGCTGTTCATTCTCTTCATCCGTGGGGTGACTCTACCTGGAGCTAAAGAGGGCATTCTGTTCTACATCACCCCACAATTCGAAAAACTCAAGGAATCGGAGGTAATGACATATCATCGTGTGATTCATACCCGTGCGCTTCATGCCCCGGGGGAGCCGAGCTCGGCACCACGCGGCTAAAATGCTTGTGTTCCTTTGTCAGGTATGGCTGGATGCAGCTACCCAGATCTTTTTTTCCTATGGATTGGGATTGGGGTCACTTATAGCTCTGGGGAGCTATAACCCTTTCAAAAACAATGTGTACAGGTAAGACTGGTGGCGATTCACGAATAATGTTAATCTATGTGAAAAACAGGGAGAACGCTGCTGTATTCGATAAAAACGTAAAGATGGCAGTAATGAAATTTCTATTTTTCAATTTCATAGGCCTCTATTTAAGGATCCGTTTCAAGGGTATTTAGTAAAAACCTTTTAAGGGCCTTATCAATGTGAGTTGCTGCCGTGAATATAATAACAATCCAAGGAGACTGCAGTGGTGCTGCAGGCGGAAAAAACAACGACTATGATTGCAATGAGCGTTTTCTCCAGCAGCCCCGTGGTCTGGGTCACATACGCAATCAGTTACATAAAAAAATAGTTGCGTAGTTGTTTCACACGGATCAATCCCTCTACTTCTACATTTATGAAAGATACATTTTATTATTCGTCTCAAGCTCTCAAATGAAATCGTTTGATTTCCGTCACCATCAATAAAAATAGGGGCTTTTTCCAAACATCTGTACGGTCAAACGGAACAAATC